AGCCCTACCTTTGTTTGTGGCACTCCTTGCTACACATTTTGCCCGTCAGGCAATGACACTCAGACATTGTGTTATGTTCTTTGCCACGTCCTTTCCATGTCAACTGGGCAACGTAGTTGACACACACACACACACACGCAAAATCCTTCATCAATGGATGTGGGTGAAGAGCATGTACTCGTCAGAGGCTCGTTGCCTTCGGCGATGACAACTCATTGAAGCCGGGACTGAGGCCCCCCAAAGGGTTGAGCAAATTCCACAGACCACGCTCAGAGCAGCCAGGCGGTTGTGCGGTGATTCGCCTTGCACCTGAAGAGTCTCTGCATCGCCTCAACAACAGGCAACTCAAGTTGATGATTGAAAGAGGATTCCTTTTGTCCTTTTACGCCAACCTGAAGTTATATACTGAGTTGGCGCTCTCTAAAAACAAGTCCAACAAAAACATGAGTATGTTTGTTTGGCTCCCGTTTGCTTTCACACGAAGTCCGTGAAGCCGTCTCCAGCTGCCAGTGGGTTATACACGTGTGCCACGCGTGCCACGCGTGGGCCAGGTGCAGATGTTCTACGAGATGAACTCGGAGGTTCTGACCGCCGCGGCGGAGATGTACCGCGAGTCCTTGGAGGAAGACGAGGCGCCGCCGGGACCCCAACCCCCGCGCCTGGAGGGAGTTCAGAAGGTCTGGGCCGCCGGGATTTGTGGGGAGTGCTTGTAGTGTTCCCTTTATGATCAAGGTTCTGAAGGGAAGCAAAGGCACAAGGAGTCCGCGGATCGGGAAGCACGCATATTGGTGGCCCCTTCCAAGGTTCTCAGAACCCGTTCATCAGACATGTCAGGCTGAGGTTCGGGAGGGGGGGTTTTGCTTGGTTTCTTCCGGTTGTGTTGCCTACTTTTTGCCCCCCCCCCCCCCCGCCCAAAGGCAAGGGGGCACACTTCACGACCCATTTCATAACCGTGCGCCAGCGAAAAGTGGGGAGCCGAGCACATCGACTCGGCTTTGCGCCGGCCGAAGCGCCAGGAGCCCGTCTTCCCCATGCCCGAGGTGTCGGAGGTCTTCAAGGAGGCGGGGAGAAGTTCTGAAGCTGAGCGCGCGCTCGCCCGTTTTTCCCAACCCCCTTTGCTTTGGGGCATTTTGCCAAGGGATGTTAGGACTTTAACTTTTTGCCAACTAGTAGGTGTTCCATTAAACCACTAAAAGTTAAGCTTCTAGCAGGGGAGGTTTGAAGCAACCGAGTTTGAGTTGGTTCATTCCTGAAGGCCTCTGAGGTAAGAGCGCATAGTTGCTCATTGCTAACTATGGCTGTAACCTGGGCTGGTTCCTGGGTTGATGGGAGTTCTGGTTTGTGGCTCCCTACATTGTGACGTGACTATGTTGGGTAGCACCAAAAAAGTCAGTGGGTTCAGGGGACTGCTCGGCCAGGTTAAATCAGCCTAACCCCCTTGTTCTATTCCATGTGTAGTTCAAATGTCCTTTTGTAAGATGGAGTAGAAAAAGCACCTCGACGTGGGCTTGTGCCACAGGATTGGATATCTTCAAAAGGATCGTTGCTTTATGTTCGTCGTCTTGATTGTCTTCTGAGGGCATGAGGGCAGGTGCAAGCCACTGAGATTGCCTGCGCGGTTTGCCCTACATGCACATTTCCCTCTCATGCCGTGCCTTTGACGCCCCGAGCTCTTGGACAGACGTGCAAAAGCAACTCAGCCACTGAGATTCAAAGCAAATCGCTATCAGGAGGTGCTGCGAAGTGTGCGGGACCTGGGCATGAAACAAACTTCTTCCCTTTTCCAGGACCTTGACGCCCACACCCGTACTAGAAAGCCTGGGCATGAAACAAACTTCTTCGGTTGGACTATGACGCCATTCACCCACACCTCAAGCAGCTTCGCGCCAGTGGGGGCCGTTTTTGTTTTTGGCCCCTAAGCGGTTGGGCTTCTCTGAGTCACCGGGGAAACAACGCGGAAAGCGCGCGGAAAGCGCGTGAGGCGAGCAACAAGCAGACGCTGATCAACCTGATGGTGCACCTGGCGGACACCTCTAATGCCTGCAAGCCCTTTCGGATTTGCCAGACCTGGGTGCAGAAGGCGGGGGAGATCTCAATAGCTTGTTTCTTTGGCGGGTCCTTGGGGCAATTGCATCGCCAGAGCCTTCTGTAGAGCTGCCTGACATGTGGGCAACGCGGGAATGTGCTCAAAGTCAGGTCACGTAACCTCGAAGTGCGGGGCTGCTCGTAAATGCTTTCAGAGGCTCCCCTCCACACCCTCCCACTAATTGTGAAACCTCACTGGGGCGCATTTTCCTCGAGGAGGGGGCGCGTTTGGTCGGTTTCCGGGTCGTTTCTTCAGCAGGGTGGGGCTACCCATTGGCCCATTGGTTTACACATGTTTAAACCACTGGTTACCACGATACCATATTTTGCCCCAGCCTGTTCTTCAGGCCATGGAGGAGAATTTCCTGCAGGGCGACGAGGAGAAGCTGCTGGGGCTGCCAGTGCAGGCGCTGAACGACCGGGAGAAGGCGAACTTGCCGCATAGCCAGATCGGGTTCATCGAGTATTTGGTGGCCCCCTTCCTTCTGGTGGTCATCAAGGCGGGGGGTGAGGAGTCGACCAGGGGCTGGAGGAGGGAGAAGCACCTAAGTTGGGTCATGTCTAAAGGAAAAGGCACTAGGCTTGACTTCGCTCGGGGGAATTTGCATTTGGGCGATCATCCGGGCTGACTAATACACTTGATACTTTGAGATCTGACTTGCCATTTCGCCCGAAGTGGCAGGAGGAGTAGTCTAGGCTGCAACATGCTATGCCCCTGGTTCCGCTTATTGGTCAGTTTGGATTTTGCTCTGCTCAAAATGGTCCGCTTTCGGGGGCCATGATAAGCATAACCTCCCAAAGAAAGCCATCAAGGGGTTGGTCGCGAAAGCGCTCCAGCGAGGTGCGGCCTACGCCTTGATCTGGATCCCCACTCAATTTGTGGGTTGAATGCTGTACTTGATCGCAAACTGCCCGGGGTTTTGGGGTTTTATGGCAGGTGCACTGGTCATCTCTGGGGACTTTCAGTGCACCTCTCTCCTCCCAAAAGCAAACATGACACCTGAAAGGACCTTGTGGAAGACCAGGTTCATCCAACACGGGCCCTGTGTTGGGTTCCAAGCCATGCGTGGAGATCGGGTTCCATGTGCCCGCGGGTCAACGCCAATGGTACCATTTTGGGGTAGGTGCACCACCCATTTTAGTCTATTTTAGTGGGGATTCGGATGTTGACTGGGGGTACGGGGTTTTGACCCATGGCCATGTTTGTGTTTGGGGGAAAGAAAGTTGGCCAGATCCCCACGCAGCCATTTGCCAGCGCCAGGTGCTGCCGCCAGCCGACGCGCTGCAGGCGCAACTGCTGATCAATGTGAAGACGTGGGAGAAGCGCCGCGGCCGAATTTAGCTCGCCAAGGTTTTCGCAGGGGATGGGGGCATAAAGGGAGTAGACAGCTGACTTGCATGCTTGGCACGCTGATGAGTTTTCTGCTCACCTTTGATCCATCGCAGACCCCGATATGTCTTTGCGAGGGGGTTGAACGCGGTCGTCGGGTCTGAGGCTGTGGCAGCAGCAGGGGCCCTCCGATGAGGAGAAGCAGAAAGTCGCCGCCCGCGTCAAGGCGGGGCCCGTTGCGACGTTCGTGGCGTTTCTGGGAGCGTCCCGAAATGACTCCCTTGGATGGTACTGAAACAAAAAATAAAGTGCCATCAACAGATTTCAACAGATGGATGTCAGCCGGGATTTGTGTGGGGGCTGAAAAGCTGACCTATCAACTGGCTACATCACCACATGCCACACGCGCTGGACCCTCACAATTCCAGTGGAACAGGCGTTTGGCTCACGCCGGTGTTTCTCCTTCGTTGGTCCATTGGTCGGGCCAACAACTGCAGGACATGGTGCGCGCGTACAACGAGGCCAAGAAAGCCTCCTGAGGGGGCACTTGCCGAGTCCGAGCCCGGGGTTTCTCCGGCAACAAAAGTGGGGCCCGTCGCCCGGCTTGCTGTTTTTGAGCCTTCGCCTTTCTTTCCCAGCTTTTTTTTGGCGGTCCCTTTCAGCTCTTCGCAAGCTCTTCGTTTCCTTGGACGCCCGGCATAAGAATATCGCACTGAATAGCTCAGATGTTTGAAGAACCGAGCAACACCTTTGGATGGGCCAACCTTTTTTCCCCCTTGACGCGACATCCCCATGTACATATATAGGTCCAGGCGCTCTTGGCCAAGGCCAAGCCTTTGCCAAGGTGCCGTTTTTTGACGAAATCGAAGCTCCGCCGGGCTGTGCTTTGCGTGTTTAGGGGCTTCCATTTGCTGAATTGGCACCTTTTTTGGTGCAATTCCGTTAGGGTCAATCCTCCGGTGAGGATGCGTTTTTTTACAGCTGTTTGATTTGTTTCCAGTGCATTAGGATTGAGAGGGAAACGAAGGCATGGCGCATTCGGAAGTTGAAGTTGAAATTGTCCCCCGGCGAGCTTCCAAGACCTGAATGCCCAATACATCCTGAGGTGCGGGGATTGGCGTTCTGCGAGGCTATGCCTCGCTTTGGGTGGGTCCGGTCCCGCACCCAGGATGGAAACAAAACAAGACATGCTTAGACCTTAAACATGATGGGGGTGTCTTTGTTTGAGGCCAACTTTTTTTTTTTTGCTTGGTTTTAAAGAACAGCCACCAGTTTGGGGGGTCCCCTATTTTAAGACACACCCTAATGTCCCTGCTGCTCTGGGCCATCACCATCTCAGAGTCTCATGCGAGGAACGGTTTCACACAGCGATCGATCGCTCGGCGCGGAAGACATGCAGCTGTGCGGAACTTTGTCTTGCACCCCTTCCTTCCCCGAAGCGGGCGGTGTGTAGCACGGGCTGGGTGCCTTGTCCTGTGTCAGCTTCCACTTGCCATGGTCATGGGGGGTGACTCGGGGAGTGGTCATCAACGTGGTAAACGAAAGAATTCGAGGAGTCGCCATGGCACACATGGAGTGGGCCTAGGAGTCCCTGTGTGTGAACCTCAACGCGCTGGGTGACAAGGCAGGACGGACTGAGCCTCAGGTGGTGCCTGAGGCCAAGCCTACCCCAGGGTCCTCTCTTGGAGCACCCAGCGCCGTCATCTGTTTCTGCTTTTTGTTTGCTTCTTGCTACTCTCCTCTGCTTTCTTGCTGCTGTTTTCTTTCCGCTGCTCGGCCCTCCCGTTTTCTCCATACTGCTGTCTGCTTTCATTTCTTTGCCACAGTCCTCCCTTCTCACCTTCTTTCTGCTTCCCGCTGAAGCTCAAGAGGCTTAGTGGCGGAAGTTGCTCCTTGCAGTGCGTGCCTGAAGCCCCTGAACCAGATTTCCCTCTGAAGGCGGGCCCACGGTCTTTGGCTCATGCCCAATCCTGAAACCCACCTTTAGGCGCGACATAACCCACACGGCTCCATTTTCCTGTGACAAAGCCGCAGGCGGCATGAGCTCTTCAGCATGTCTGCACCTCCTTTTCCCTTTCGTCTACCTGTGGGTCTTTGGAGTGCTGGGCCCGTTTTTCATGGGGCCAGTGGCCTGGGTCTGGTTCTTCAAACACGTGTTGCCTGGCGCTGCCAACTGGACCCCCCCCCAACAACCCCCCCCCCCCCCAACCCCCCACCTCCCCCACAACCCCCCCCCTCTTTTCCCAGGCCTCCCTTGGCCCAGTGGTGTTGCAGCCAATGTCGGTTGATGTCGTGGCGAGGTGGTCTCCTTCACCGTGCTGGCGCTCTCTGCATCCAAGGATGGGTCCATGGTGGCCGCCTGCACCGACCGGGCCCGGGTCATTGTGCTGCAGGCCCGGGTGGTGCCGCTGGTTTTTGTTCTGTTCTCTTTTCTTTTTTTTTGGGGTGGGGGGGGGGTGGGGGGGAGTCGTTTTTGGCCGGCTGCGTGATTTCTTGTTTTCCTTTCTTTCTTTTGGTCGTGAGGGGAGACGGCGCCTAATAGAACGCGTGATGAAGCAAACGTTTGGTTGATCAACAGGGTGCTAGAGGGGGATCCTCCCCGATGAGTCCGCCAGGTTGATTGATCCGATGCCACGGATTGAGACACATTGAGACCTCCTAAGCCAAGGCTCTCTCCGTTCAATGGGGGGAATGATGCGTTCAAAGGGATTCTCATGGGGTTTGGGAGGAGGGGAGCCCAAATAAGTCCTTAATAAGGCCGCAAAAAGGCCTTTGGGCTCCCTCCGCCCCAAGCCCCTGTGAGATTCCTGTTCCATGAGCCTTCTGGGTTGGCAAAAGGCACACGACTGGGCATCAGCCCGGATTTGGGAGGCAGCCATGCATGACTCCTCTCAAGCGCAGTTTCAAGCGCTGCCTTGGTGCTTTGTTTTTGCATGCCAGCCAGGTGTGAATGCACACAGGCCCGGCGTGAAGCTCAAACGTGGAGTTCATTCTTCCGGTTGGTGAGCAGCGTTCTTTGCTTGCACGTGTTGCTTTCCCAGTGGCTGCAGCATGCTGCAGTATGATCACCCTTGAACCCTTCACCCCGTCAAGTGTTCGTTGTTGAAAAGCAGGCGCGGTCCAGCCGGCAGCTGCGGAATCTCTACGGCGCAGCGGTGAACGAGCCTCTGCCGGTGAAGTGGTGACATGTGGTGTCAAAAGGTCCAATCCCTGCTCGAGGTGTCCCCTGGTTCCACGTGAGGCCGAGCCCTCAAGCAGCCGCTCGGACCAATCGGCCAATCGACCAATCGACGGCTGAGGAGTATGACGTGCCGAGCATCTGCTTTTCGCTGGACGACTGCTTCCTGTACGTCACCTCCTCCCTGCCACAGCCTTCGGGCGCGCGAGAGCAGGAGGTGGGGGAGAGGGGAGAGTGCCGAAAAAGCGGGGCACATGGGGCGCCTGCGCCTGGTGTGACGCCAGGTGAGAGAAAGAAGAAGCCCATCACCGGCGGATGAATAATTGGTGTCCTTTTTCGTCATTCATTTCTGTATTTGTTTCTCCTATTTTCTTCCTGGGCGGTGGGGCCGGGTGCCGCAGACCGCCAAACGCAGCGGGCATCTTTTTTCGCGCGTTTCCGCGGGCTGGGCGTCCGGCCAGGAGGTGGTGGCTTTGTGCGGGCAAGTGGCCATCTTCGAGCTGCGCACTGCGCAGCTGGTGCTGCAGCTGCCGTGCCACCAGAAGGCGGTGCGCAGCTCGGGACAGAAGCGGGGCAGAAGGGGGCAGAAGGGGGCAGAAGGGGGCAGAAGGGGCGGGGAGGAGGCTGGGACCTGCAAGTAATCGGGGGGCCAGGGCCGCTAGGGAGGAAAGTTGGGCTGTGTGGGTGCTGGGTTGGCTGAGGGTTCGTCAACAGCTTGGAGGTACAGCTTTGATTGTGGCGGGGCTTTAGGCGGGGTTCGGTAGGATCGAGCTGCTCGCGGCTGTTTGGAGAAGTGTGGGGTTGCATCATGTGGAGGTCAACCGGCACGCAGGTGGCAAGAATTAAACCGCCCTGCAAGTCTGAAGTAGGACTCCAGCCAGCCGAGGCTGCTTCGACCGGCACCCCTTTACAGAGATGCTGGTGACGGGCTCCTTTGATAAGACGGTGAAGTTCTGGAGCTGAGGGCTGCGAGCTGGGCTCCGGATTCCAACACATTGGCGATGGAAAAACAAAAATGGAGGGCGCGTGGGCTTTGCGAGGGGAGGGGGGGTGGAAAATCCTGACCAAGGAATGTTTCACAGTTTGCTCTCTGAAAGCTGAGGGCTTGGGTCGTTTGGCCAGGCCTCTGAGACTGAGGACGCCGCGCTGGCTGCCTGGCAGCGGTCGGGCACGAAGCCATGTATCTGACCATGCGATCGTATGTTTACTAATTCTTCTGTGTATCTGAACATGGGGATCGTATTATTACTAATAATTTCTGTTGTTATGGTTGCGTTTCCTGATGCGCTCCTGTGCCGGAAGTTGTGCGCGGTTCATGCCGCAAGGCTATGTGTTGGCTACCCGAGGAGTCGGCGCTGGTGGCGCTGAGCAAGTTTATGCCGCCAGAGAAGCAGGCTGCCTGGAATAAGTGTGGCAAAAACTGGTGGAGGCAGACTATAGCAGTTTAGATGCGACTGAAAGCCAGAATCGAAGAGTCTTTTCGTGTGGGTCCCTTATTTGAGCCCAATGATTATGAATTATGATTCACCAAGCTGGATTGCGAAACGCCAAAAAGGATGTGTGATCATGGTGCCAGGTGAGTCGGGTTGGGCATGTTGATATATGTTAATGTCTTCACTCGGATATGTATCAAGCAAACTATTAAGCATCAAACAACAGTTTTTTAGACATGAGAAGGCTCTCCCAGAACCCAACACCAACCTTAAACTTACCCTAAACCCACTGCAACTAGACCCCTCAGCCTAAGCCAACCAAGTCTAAACCACCCCACCGTAAACCCACCCTCAAGACAGCTCCTAAACAAACAAACCCTAGCCATGCCCGACATTTTGATGCCTAATGAGTTCTTTTGATGCTGCTGTTTCCGTTTTTGTCTTAGCGTCTGTAGCAAAGCGGTGCCCAGCACGTTTTCGTTTCATGCTTGATAATCTTTTCGATACCTCACCCGCCACTTGGGGTCGTTCTGCATGAAGGATCCCTTCCAGTCTAGTCCCGAAGGTTTACGAGACCGTGGTTTGGCATGCGCAGGGTTCCCCCAAACAGCGCCAAGGTGCAGGAGCAGGCGCCTGTAGCAGCAAAAGCAAACACGAGCCAGTGCCTTGTCCCTCCACTCTCTTGCGTCCGGTGCCGGTTTAGGGTTAAGGGTCAACGGACTGAGCACTGAGAATGACACAGTAAGAAACAAGTTGGAAACACAAATTAATAGAGATCACTGGCTGGCTAGCTGGCTACGGCTAGCTAGATAGATAGAGACATAGACAGATGTATACCAAATATTTATATGTACATATATATATATATATATATTTATATACAGTTTAGGGGATCATGAGGTGAGAGTAGGCTGAGCCGAGCCTGGTGTCAGTGCCCCATCGAGGCCCTGGGCGCGCTGCGGGCGGCGCTGCGCCGACTGCGGGCCTCAGAGCGCGCGGCGCTGCGGGAGGCGGGGCCGATGGCGGCGCTGCCGCCGGGGGCCCTGGAGGGCAAGGGGGGGGGGAGGGGCGCTTCGCACTTCGCGGGGCGGTGCGGGCAGAGGATTCGGGGAGTTGGCCTGGGCTTGATTGAGATGGTTGGGGAGATGTGTGCGGGTGGGGGGGGAGGGGACGGGGGGAAGATGGAAGTTTTGTTTTGCCCGGAGCGGGGGATGTGGGGGGGGGGTGGGGGATGTTGTGTCTGGCCGGAGCGGGGCAGGTGGCAGCTCTGAACGCTTGTTCATGTGGCCAAGGTTGCGCCTCGAACCTGCTTTGCCCGTTTGAGCTTGATCTGGACTGGCTAGGGAAAACCTGTTGCATGCATGACGTGTCAAACAGTTTTTTAGCGTCTTCCGATTCTCTCATCACAGCCAGTCCGGTAAAGTTGCCCCTCATATGAATGAACCCCAGTTTATTAATAGAGGGTGTTCCCCTTCGAAAGTGGTCTGATTCCCCACATTGCACCCAGGGACACCCCATATTAACAAACCGAGACTGCTTATGGGATCAACATTCACAGTCGAAGCTGATAGCCTCCATGCCACACAGGGCTTGCAGCCGACAAGGCGGCAGATGTTCCACAAAGCGACCAGTTGCACCCCGCGTTTCGCGTTTTCCTTTGGCGAGCGCTCAGCGTCCATGGCTAAAGACAAAACAAAATGAGGGCGATGAGGGTACCCATTGAGGAGACCTCCACAAATGGGTATGGCTCAAAAAACCGGTACCAACATATACCAAAATGGAACCCTGGTAAGTGGAAACATGTACCAAAACCTGCGCAGCCCTAGCTCTTTAATTTGAGCCACGGCCAAATGAGGGTAGCCATGAGTTCTTTTCTATGAGCTACTCCCCCACCCCCCCTCGCAGCGTCAGCTGATTCCGAGGCGGCGCGCGGCCTTGGAGCCGCAGCTGCGCCAAGTCCTGGAGGAGGTGGAG